ATATAGCGCAGCCTGTGTTTTCTTTGCTGTCAAACTACAGTGTAGAGGAAAACACCATATGCATGAAACGAGAAGTGGCCATTTCAGGAAACAGAGGTTAGCAGGTGCAGGAAATGTGAAAGAACTGACTTAGTAAGACAGAGGCAACTAAAAATGGAATTAATTCTAAAGACTTAGGGAAAAGAAAGGTGAAAGGAATATGATGTAGCTGGGGATAAATTATAAGAATATATAGCTATGAGGTGACAATCCTTGGAAGGTTCATGTCAGTTTTGCTTCTGTAATGGTCAGAGTTGAAATACTGGCCACATGTCTCACTGCATTTTATCTACAGTGTTCAGAGACAGTAACAGTCTACTAGAAAGCAGAAAGGCATTAAGGTACATAGATTCTTTGTTGATGTAGAACAGACAAAGAACCTGCTATTCCTGTATTGCAAGAAAAGGAAGCACCCAGTGAAATTACAAGACACGATGAAAAATATTTTTGTGCAAGAAACGCAGTGGTACAAAATGTTTTGGGTGCCAAGGAAACTTTGACAAGTTCAGAGTTCATCAGAAGCTATGACGTAAGGTGGTCTATGCCAAGCCTTTGACCACAGAGATTCCTAAACTGCATGTTGACAAGAAACCAGGTAGAATAACCAAAAGTAGTTCTTTAAGCTTCCGTTCTTTACCAAGAAAAAGGGTTACTGGACTGAAAGGTCTTTCAGAGTGAGTTATATCAGTGCCATTAGCCTCAGTGTGAAACTGAACTGAACTTTAGATTTCTGCTGTTCCCCTGCACCTCCTCCGTACACTTATTAAAAAGTTTATTCTAAGTCTGGCAACTTCATTCATTCTAAGACCTGCTTTTATCGGATGACTTAGCATTTGCTTTTCAGTATTTGAAAGTGTGCTTCAGGAATTTTTATTGACTGATGGCTGTTTCATTACAATGAAAGCTGGCAGGAATTGAAATTTCATGGTGTGGCTGATCTTAGATCTAGGAAAGCACAGAACAGAATTCAGAACATCTCTTTTACCTCCTTGCATTCAGACAGAAATGACTGAATATTAACCTATTTTGCTCTTTCCTCCATCTCTCTGGCAGTCTTCAGAGTATATTCCATTGTTTTACAGTACTAAAGCTTTTTGTGAAAGTTCAGTCTAAATAATTAAAATAATTAAGACTTTTTTAGTTGTTTGTCATTAGCCATGGGGAATGTTTGATCACAGTTTCTGACTACCTTCATTCAGACTTTTCTTCAGTAGACCAGATAGACATGACTTTTCCTCTTAGCTGTTTTTTGTTTTTTAAACTTCTAATGATTTTGTAAATGTTGCAATGAATTTTGCAGAGACATACTGACTCTTTGAGCAGTAAACTGAAGAAGTATTAAAATAAGGTTCTACCTAGCATCTAAGGGGGTAAATTTATTTCTTCTATTGTTTGTTGACATGTTTTATTCTAGTTCCATTCTACTGAGTATTTTTATTATTTCAGTTTGATGAACTGATGAGTACTGTGATAATGAAGATAATTTTATGGGGATTTAATAAAGCTACTTTAAAAATAAGCAATTTAGAAATGTGTAGGTTTGCTAATTTTCCCATCCCCCTCCTCATTCTCAGCCATTCTCCTTCTTTCCACCGGTTCTGTTTTTGACTATATTTTTTTTTTCCTGTATAACAAAGAATTATGTATTCTTGTCTGGCTATACTTCAGTTTTATTAAAACATATTTAAAACAGCTGAAAATTTTTCACATATCATAAAGCATGTAATTAGGCAGCAGAAACTGGTTAAAAAGTGAGTACTCAAAAGTCTTTCTAGGTTCAAGCATTTTTACATGAATAGTTACTGTATAATTACACCTTCTTTTCCAGTTTTTAATCAAGAATGCTGTTCATTATCTTAATTACTGGAAGCTTATAACCTTCAAGGTTCCCGTTCTTTCTCTAGAAGTCCTTAGAAACTCTGAGTTAAAACTTCAGAATACTAGCTGAATTTCCTTAAGTGAAAGTAAACCAAACTACTTTAAAAAGGGGAAAATGGATGTAAATTACAGAAGGAAGTGATATTTTTAAACAAGTGACCATTCATTCTATGAGTGCTGATACCAACATGAGTGACAGAACACTCTTGTGAATCATAGCAGGGAACAGCTTTTATGTTGTACTTGCAGATAAACTACTATTCAGAAAGTTTGAATTTATTCATTCTACTTCCATGTGACTTCAATGACTTCCATTGGCAACAATCAGGCAAGATTTGCAAGGACATATACACAGGAAGGAAACTGATAATGTGAAACTCTTGAAACAATGAAAGAATATTTGAGTCATGAATCAGAGCCTACTGGAAGAGAGAACTCATCTCATATGGTCTTGAGATTACTCTTTAATTTTGCTGATACAGGAAAGCTGTACGAACTTTCTACCTTCTATCACTTTGGGATTAAGATTGAAAGTGAGCAAGTGATTAGGACAGTCAAAATAGAGACAAAATATTTTGATTTAACAATTTAAAAGGTACAGGAGGTAATCTGCCTTGATTAGTTATCTTTAAATGTTTTGCTACATTTTGTATCTCTTTGGTAGGATGTTGTATGATGATTTTAGGTGTGTATAGGAATTTGTCTGTATGTGGCAAAATAAAGGTAATGTAAATTTAGTATGTGGGAGAAATAGTAGAAGGATAAATAAAATGGAGAGTAAAACTTAACAATAAAAATGTTTTTTAAAAATTCATACACAACCTTCTGATTATTAGTACAGATGTTCTCCTTTGTATCTGTGAGTGATTGAGGATTGGACTGTAGATGTGATACAAAAAAGACTTACAAGGGAGTAATATTAAATTACAATATTACAATATTACAATTGCAATATTAAAGAGAACTGAATATACCCAGCTATAGAGCTATTTATTTTTAGATTATTGTTCTTATCTAGAAAGATGTTTGGGTTTTGTCTTGCTGTGACTCACTGGGTCACAGTAGTGCTTATTGGAAAGTGAAGGTGCTGGTTCCCATGGCCATCGGATTTTCCATTTCACTTTTGTAGGCCTAGCTTCATCTCTAGTGGCAGTGTAGGCAACACTACAAGAGTTAGGCTGCCAGCAATTTTCAGTGTTTCATTTAGATCATCAAATCATGTTCCTGCTCTCCCTTTCAGAGTTTTTCCTTTTTCACATAGACATCCTGATCAATTTCGCTTGGGGAACAGAATGATCTTTCAGGCATTAAACATAAACTTTTAATCCCTTTTCAGAGTTGTATTATATTGCTATGTAGGTATTTTGACATACTTAATTTTAATTACACAATTAAATGTATGATTGATGCCTCCTAGATATTTCTAAGATCCCCTCTTAGTCTTCTCCAGGCTGAACAGACCCAGGTCCCTCAGCCTTTCCTCAGAAGGGAGATGCTCCAGGCACCCATCATCTTTATGACCATCCAGCATTTTCCTGTCTTTTTTGAACTGGGAAGACCAGAACAGGACAGAGTGCTTCAGATGTGGCCTCAAAAGGGCAGAGTACAGGGGAAGGGTCACTTCCTTTGACATGCACTCTTTTTATTGTACTCTATTTTTTTAATTTTTTCTTCTCCCTTTGCTGCTTTTATGGTGGATTTCTTTGTTTGTTGTCACAGAACGAAACACAGTAGGGAGGTAATTATCCTTCAGAAATGCTATATAGATTCTAATGTTGATCACATTGTGTAGTAACAATTGGATGTCAAATCGAATTTTAAATTCTTTAATGTTCCTTCATTGGTGATGGCTGCTAAATGATGTATCCCTACTGATATGTCATGCTCGGGGTCTTGTTTGGGGATTTTTAGACTTCTTTCAGAGATTCCTGAAAGTTTAATTAGTTTCTGATGATGAAGCAGTCTGGAAGCTGTTTAATTTCCTTACAAGTAGATTGTTTCAGACATTCTTCAATTTATGACCTTAGCATTATAGTAATAACACATTTTCTCTGTGATTGGATGCTGGCAGAGTATGTGTGTGAGTTTTATGAGTTTTATTTTATTTGGAGATGTTGTTTATTTTGTTGAGATGTGTTCTATGTTCTTCAGGTTTTGAGCCTCAGATGAGGCTGAGGTACTGCTGCAGGCATGGGGCAATATCAGGATCCCCACCTAGAGCATTCTGAATTCAAACATAGTCAGAAGGAAAATGTTTATGGTGCTCCAGTTAGGTCACATTTTAAATGTACTGTGTGTAGGTGCCATTTCTGTTGAATTTGCTTCACTAACTGTAGAAGCTTCTATATCTTTGCAACTAGTTGCTACAGTTCAGAAGTCTTAATTTTGTTTTGAATGTCTTGCAAAGAGCAAGTTGTTATGGCTGCAAGTTGTATCAGAGGAGGTTTATGTTGGACATAAGGAAGAACTATTTCTCTCAGAGAGTGGTCAGGCACTGGAATGGCTGCCCAGGGAGGTGGTGGAGTCGCCGTCCCTGGCAGTGTTCAAGAGGCGTCTGGATGACGTGCTGCATGATATGGTTGAGTGCTTGTGGTGGCAATGGTGATGAGGAGACGGTTGGACTGGATGATCTCTTATTGGTCGTTTCCAACCTTGTGATTCTATGATTCTATGAAACTTTAAGGTAGCTTTTCAGTTTGTAACCTTTAAATTCATACTTCTGCTTTGTACTACAACTTCTTGTCTAGCTTATCATTTCCTTCTATTTGGGTGTAAACTGTAAATGTGATATACTTGGTATATTTCTGTATGGTGATTGTACAAATTGAGCTGTTAAAATATCAACTGCTTTCAGTATAAATGTAAAATATCCTTCTAAGGAATTGTGCTGTTTGCTATGTATGAAAGAAGAGGAAGGATTAACCATGAAAAGTAGCCTATTTTAAAGGGATTGTCTGTTTTGTCCAGTTTGTTGGTTTTCGTTGGTGTCCACTGTAGTTAAGTCCACTTAACTGTTCATACTCGTTAACTATCACTCTTTTCATATTGTTTGTAAATATTTGTTTTCTTTTTTACTTTTGTAGGTGGAGGAAATTGTTGATATTGGAGCATTTGCACCGGAAGATATTCATGTTCCCAAAATCTATGTTGATCGCCTGATACAGGGAGAGAAGTTTGAAAAGAGAATTGAAGTAAGTAGCCCTTCTTATTGATCACATTTCAGTGTCAGTTGTATTTTAGAATTTTTACAGGATTCTTACGCTAGCCATTAAATGTTAGCAATGAAAACTTGCCAGGTTTTGCTAAGTACTGGGGTTTATGTATTTACTTAAGTACTTGGTGGAGTATTGAGAATTGAACTTTGTGTTTTATGCCTCAGACTCTCTTATTCAATCCCTAAATGAGCTAGAATAACTTTCTGCGTCCTCAATCACTTTATTGCAGTTGAAAATCTGATGATGAAAAATCCTTCTTCAGTCTTCTTTCTTCTCCCAGATCACCTCCTGTAGACACAAGGGAAATACCTGCACTAAGAGCTGATTTTAACAGTAATGTTTCTTTTTTTTCTACTGCGAAGCTTTTTACATGGACAGGTAGAACTAGTTGCAGCTTCTTCTGTGCCTTGTAATGGATTACATTATATTGTGGAGATTCTGGAACCTTTCTTTCCTTTTCATTAAATGGGACATTTTTTACACAGTGACATTTATGCCAATACTTAATAAAAGTTGAGGTAATAATATTAAAACACTGAAAACTTGGAAGGAAATCATCATGTACTGTTGTTTTTTGTTTTTTTTTTTTTGTTTCCATGGCTCTATCTCACTCAAGCTTTGTCCCTCTTTTTTATTTTGTTGATGTGACAAAGCTCTTAAAGTGTAATTCAAAACTGCGTATTTTTCTGATGTGTCCATAGTCTTGATGTGGAATTATTAAAAATGTTGTTATACGAGCTCGTGGAGGAGGAGACACATAATACAAGGAAGAAACACCTTGACAGAAAGAAAAAGCTGAACAAAGGGAATATAATTATTTTATTTTAAAATTATTTTATTCTTAAATTTATACTAAGTAGTCCTACAAAGACTTTGATCTAAGTAAGCTGATTTAGATTAATGTATAAAGGGACATTATTATTGTATCTGTTATTGTAACTGTTATTGTAAGTTCTCATTCTGCAAAAGCAGGTGATTGGGGATCTGACTAGCAACAGATACTAAGCCTTTTTAAAAAATTTTTCTTTGGATATATTTTGTTAGAATGCCCTGCTTCTTCCTTTTGAAATATCACAGTTTAAAAGCTTTTGACTTTCATGGAAGAAATCCATTTTGTGTTTAATAAGTTTCTGTTTTTATTGGATTTCGGCAGTGGGTAAAGTGTAAGGAGGACAGTTACAAAAAGTACATGAGCTGCTTGATTATCTAGTCTGAACAAGGGGACTGGGTACGTGCATAGGCACCTGCCCCCTCCCCTATATTCTTACAAAAAAAAAAAAGAAGGAGAAATGCTGCTGTAAACTATACAACAAAGTTGTAACAGGGATTTTTTTAATGCTCTTATTCATACTTTTCTATCATAGAATGAGGTCTGTTCCAAAAGCATTGTCTCCTATTTTGTTATATTTGCTCATGGAGACAGATGTTGGAGGTATGGCAGTAGAGGCTGAACCTTCCCACCGGTGTCCCTTTCCGTTTTGTTTCTGTGTGACAGACGGCAGCAGAGGGGAGCCTGACAGAATGGTGTCTGAAATGAAAGTGTGTGTCACTGAGTTCTTCCATGCAGATAAAAAGTCACCCATTGACATTCTTTAATGCTTGATGAATGTTTCTGGAGACCAAACAGTGGATGCAGGCACAGTGAGGTGGTGGGTCACCTCCACGAATGCAGTTTGTATGAGACACAGTATGCAGGCTCTTGTTAATGGCTGATGAAAATGTGTAGTTCATGGTGGTGACTATGTTGAAAAATAGTGTTTTGTAGCTGAGAATTTGCTCTATCATGTAGTGTTATTGAACTCTTGGTGGTTGTTACAGTTTCCATGGAAATAAATAGGAAGCATTACTTTTGGAGCAACCGACATCGGTTGGGAATGTCTACCCATATGAAAGCATTAATGAGGATGAATATTAATGGAGAGAAAAGGAATGAAGAGAACCTAGTCTGTCATAATTCATACTGACTTTAAATAGCAGTTCATGCCTAATTGGGCTCACACATGGTCCCTCATCATATTTTTGTCATCCTTTCTATCCAGCTTTCTTTTTGCTACACAGAAATCTTCCGTGATTGTTATTAATTTTTTCAAAATGCGCAAGTGAAGCAATTCTAGGAAAAATATGTTGGACATAAAAAGAAAGTTAATAGGTAGTGTAGGAGAGCTGATAATGACTGATCCTGACTGCTGAAAAGGAGACAGACTTCTAACATAGAGGAAAAAGAAAGTGCAAAATTTCTTTTGTGTTCCTTAAAAGGAATAGAGGATAATTTCGCCAGATCTGTTTTTTATGTCTTAGAGATATGTGAAGAGAAAATGTGAGTGAGTACAACAGAGGATGTTGTTTAGAGCAGCATTATACACTTGGGAGAAATCCGTGGAGAAAACCATTTATGTGAAAGAAATATTCACAGAAAAGGTCTTAGAAACTTCTTGAATACTGTGGTATTTTTATGTGTGTGATTTAGAGAACATCAGTTAAAGGCCAGTAAGTCTCTGGAAGACATACCAAACAGATTTATGCGAGATTATGTAGACTTACTGTGAAAATGCAGTTGCCCAGCTCCTCCTTTTTTTTTTTTTTTGTATAACTGGCATTTGTTGATCTTGTGCATGTCTAGAATGTCATCACTGAATTGAATGATTACAGAGAGGGAGCAGTATTTGAATTTTAGGCTGACATTTCAAAAATCTATTTGGATATCTCTGGAGTAATGATACTCAAACTTGCTAGTATTTGCACTAATGCTTGTTGCTTTCTTTCCCTCTTTTTCTTCTTAACAAGTTATGTCTATCAGATACTTTCTCAGACTTGACAATACAAACAAATAAAAAAGTCAGTGATAGCCATAGAACAATCTTGATTATTCCACTGGCTTAGGTGAGATTGAACTGCTAGAATAAAGGGTCATTCTTTCTAAGGGATGGATAAATAAAATTATTCTTAGATGAAGTATCTCATCAATCACAAATCAGGATTCTGCATCATAAGATGCAAGAATCTGGATGCTAATTTCTGATTATGATTGCCTCCTGTTTTGCAGCGCTTATCAATCCGAAAGCCTGAAGACTCAAAAGCCAAACAAAAGGCAGGAGATAATGTGAGGGAAAGGATCATCAGACGGGCTGCTTTAGAGTTTGAGGACGGCATGTATGGTATCCTCCAGACATACTATAGGTTAAAGTGATGTCTTGCTAGACTAGTATCTGCAGCTACTTATGTTTAATGGAAGTTAATTATCACACTCATTGTTCGTCTTTCACAGAGCCTGGAACTCTCTTTTCTCAATAACACCTGATAGAAACAGATGGGATATTGTGCATGCACGTCTGTAGTTCCTCTTCAGTCATATAGAAGAAGTCATATTCATTAGTGTTGAATGTTTGACAAGAATTTCTTTGAAAAGTGCAATACAGATGTAGCTTACTTGAACTGTTTTGATTTTCTTTTTTAGCTAAATAAATATTTGACAGAATGCAACTAGCCAGTCCAAATAGGAAAGTAATTCAAGCACAAGTGTGAGACATCCAGCTAAAAATAGGAGTGTTTGTGGACAACAGTTCTTATGACAGTACAGTGATAACTTTTTAAGTTTGTTTGCGCTGTGTGTTCCTATTTGTGCCTTGACCAATTTTCTTCAGCTAATCTGGGTATTGGAATCCCCTTGTTGGCCAGCAACTTCATCAGTCCAGACATAACTGTTCACCTACAGAGTGAAAATGGAGTCCTAGGTTTGGTAAGAATATATCACGGTCACTTAATAGCAATGTGCTTACGATGTTGTACTGCCAGGTTTTATTCCTCCCTGTTGCCCCTAAGCTGCCCATAAGCTACCATAAATAATTATGGTAGAAAACATATTCAAGCTTATTCAGTAGTGCATGATCATAAAATTCTGTATGTGCAAGAAAGTCTTTGTGTAAATGCTCATTTCAGCATTATAGTGCTAATTAAAGTATGTTCCTAAATACTTGTTTTATGGGAAGGAGTCAGAACCTGGAGACCAAGTCTTGTGTTTGGTTTACAAGACCACTCCTTTTAGGATAGCTTATGAAGCATAATTTTTGGGGAAAAAATTAAACTGAATAATATTTTTGCTGTAATAATGCAAAAAACAAGTACCTCCGCTCTCTGGTTATGTAGTAATTCTAGCAGCCTCTGGGCAATATCTATCAGTCTTGATATATTAGTTGATGTAAATTTTGTCTTGTATCAAGAACTGTGTTGTGCAAAAGTGAAAAGAAAATGTGTGAATGCATGTTTGTGCTGATTTGTTTTCAGTAATAAGCATGAGAAATAATAAAGCAGTAAGAAATTGTACATCAAATGAGTCATAATGTAAATAAGTTATTAAATAATATGTCTGCCTTATTGTCAGGGTCCTTATCCACTTGAAAGTGAAGTTGATCCAGACCTGATTAATGCAGGTAAAATCTTTTAAATGAATTTAATTTTTGGTAGGTGACTTTCCTTTGTTGATATAAAAACTTTATTTTGATTTGGTATTTAAGCTCCTGATTTATTTATGTATAAATTAATGCATTTCACTTCGTGTAGTCTTTTAAGCGAAGATTGGCTTTGATCAATAGAGGGATTACATATTCTAGCTTATGCTTTTGTTCATTGTCGTAGCAACTGAAGGGAGCTCTTTTCCAGTCCAGGTGATGAAGATTTTTTCCTTTCCACAAGTGGGCTTGTTTGGTGAAGCTGTTACATGAATGTACATTCTTCTTTTCCTGCTACTTTTCATATCACGTCTTCAAGAAAATGGTTCTCAATGATTTATTTGTGGGACTGCTTGTAAAGGTTCTTTACGTAGTAGCCTGGCTTCCTCCTGCCTAGTGAGTTGTGTAAATGATATCCAGATGTGTGCTTGGAGAGGCAGCTGCAGCCTGCTTGCCAGGGGCCAGTCGTGATGAGGCTAGGTGGATGGCTGCTTTCCCCGTTCCGAGGAGAGGATACAGGTCCTAGGTGCTATAGTGAAAGCAGGGATGGGGAGGTCCACAAAGGAGCAGCTCTGTGTGGAAGAACGTCACCTTCCTGTCACACTGCCTGCTACGCCTCCCCTGCATTTCTCCAGCTGAATTTCTCTCTACTTCCTACTGCTCAGGGGCCTTACAGAGGCAGCCATTAATCTTGTTATGGCTTATTGCATCTGAATGAGGTCTGATTTCTGTTTTCTTAATGGAAAGTTGTGCTTGCATCTGTTCTGTTTCCACATAAAATTGGACCTCTATATTGCACTGTGATAAGCTGAAGAAACAGCCAAGGAAGTCTGTGTGGAAGAACTGGTCCTGGTGTTAGTGGTCGACACTCAGCTAAATATGAGCCAGCAGTGTGCCCAGGGGGCCAAGAAGCCCAGGGGCATCCTGATTTATATCAGAAACAGCATTGCCAGCTGGAGTAGGGAGGTGTCTGTCCCTCTGTACTCAGTGCTGGTGAGGCTATACCTCAAGTGCTGCACTCAGATTTGGGCCCCTTACTACAAAAAAGACATCGAGGCCCTGGAATGACCTGCTGGTGAGCAGTCTGGAGCACAAGTCTTATGAAGAGCAGCTGAGGGAGCTGGGGTTGTTTAATCTGGAGAAGAGGAAGCTGAAGGGAGACTTTATTGCTTTGTAGAACTACCTGAAAGGAGGTTGTGGTGAGGTGGGGATTAGCCTCTTATCCCATATAACGAGCAGTAGGACTGGAGGGAGTGGCCTTGAGCTGCATCAGGGGAGATTCAGGTTGGACATCAGGAAATACTACTTCTCCAGAAGAGCTGTGAGGCATGGAATAGGCTGCCCAGGGAGGTGGTGGACTTACTGTCCCTGGAAGCGTTCAAGAGGTGTTGTATCTGAGGGATGTGGTTTAGTGAGGAAGTATTAGAAAGTGGATAGTTGTTGTAAATGATCTTGGAGGTCTTTTCCAGCCTTGGTGATTCTATGAAGTAAGCCTTACCTGTTCTTCTACGTGATGCCTTATAAGCTCTTATCGTTGCTAATGGTATAAAACGTGAGCCTGTGCCTGACAAGCTTAGACTTATTTCATTAATAATTCCTTACCCTACCACTCCTGCATATATATGTGTATGTAGAAAGTACCTTTCTATCCCTATTAGCTAGTACAATTAAACTCTTTAATAGCCAAGTGAGATAAATCATTGACATCAAACAAGCTTTTAATTTAGTATCATAGTGCAGTCCAGCAATTGTCCGCTGACTTGAAACATTTGCTACCTGGCTTAACTAATTGATACCACTGTCATACTGCTATGTTATTTCCCCATTCAGTATTATGTTTTAAATAAGAAGTTATTTAAGGCATTCTTCTGATCTGAAATTAGAAATTATTAAGGAATTGAGTCCAGTGTTTCAACAGTAGGTAGGTAATGGTTGAGATACTTTGTATAAAGGAAAATGTCAGACACATGGGAGCTGAGTTGATGATTTAACTGAGTTTGAGAGTTTAAGTGGAAGTATCATTGGAAGGAAAAGAATGTTGAAAGCAAAAAGTATTTATCACAGAAGGTAAAACTCTGCACCCTCATTGGAGCTTAATGATAAGTTCTAGTATTGATAAATTTGTAATGAACGTACTAACAGAGTGACAAAGGGAAAAATAGCCAAGAACTTGATAAAGACTGAAAAAAATATTGTGTTTTTATATGGATGTAAAGATGATCTTGACTTATTGTTTGGTTGATAAATATTTTTGAGGTGAGAATGTTGTAGCTAATGTAAGATACTAGAATGTGACATGGAAGTCAGATTATTCTAGTACTGCTAATTCAATGTTAAGCATCTTAGCATCTTTCTCTGAAGGGGCAATAGACAGGACACAAGATTAGATGAATCTGCTCAGTCACCAAAACATCAGTGATATTATTGCTGAAAAATGCAGAGCCTTACTGACACTTTGTTGGATTAAGACTGCTCTGGATGCTTTTCAACCAAATTTATAAAAGCATTTGAAAAAAATAGAAGCTAAATGGCAAAGGAATAGGACTTCTGTTCACATTCGTAACCTAGCCTGTAATGATACAGTGTCAGCCCTCAAAGTGCACATTTTCAAAATAAACTTGAGTTTAGGCTCTTGCAAATTTTTATCTGCAAATAGAACTGCATTTTTCTGAAGTACCTGTTTTGTTGTTTGTTCCCTTTCTTGAATGTCTCAATTCAAGATACGTTATGTTCACTGTAATTTCAAGGTAGGCATTTGCCTTATGTAGAATTACTTACAGGTACAGACTTTATGAGAGCATTTTCAAGAACTGTTAATATGGCATTCTTGTTAAACTGTTGTTTGGCCCTCAGTCTGTGTCCCATTCTTCTCAGCACTGCTGTACGTTGCCTCTTTCCTGTGTGGTTCTTTCTCCAGGTTACAGCTTACAGACTGCATCGTCGCTCCCATTCACTGGGAGCCTGATAGGTGGACAGTTGAGGCATTCTCAGAACTGGTCTGGGTGAATTCTTCGCTTGCTGAATTCTTTGTGATTTGACTGCAGGACCTTAATTCTATACTATTTTAGTCTATCAAATTTGTTTTCCTCAGAAAATCTTCGTGGTATAATAGACATAAAGTCAATTTTGCAAATTACAACAGATAACTTAGTTGTCAGTTTTAATTTTCCTTTTTACTTTTCTCAGCCTCTTTGTTTCCTTGTTGTCTTCTTTTTCCCTGTTTTCTGGAAAATGTTTAATGATGTCTAATGTCTGTTCCCTGCTGTTGTTACTTCTCACTGTCATCTTGTGCTGAAGTCTAAAATTTTGTTCTCTAAATTTTCTATGCTTGGTTGATAATTCTACCCACGGCTGTGTTTCTCGTGACTTTCCACAGGAACTCTATATACATGGTTTATTTCTCAGTCTGATCCAAAGTGCTGGCAGTAGTAAGAGTTCTGGACAGAATCAAAGTAAAGCATTTCTGTGTTAGCTCCCTTGCTTGACCTAAGAACTTCACATCACAAAGAGCTTTATTGTTTGTACTTTAAGAAAGCAGAATTAGAATCTGCCACTTATTTTTCTGTTTTCTAAATCATTATCACTGTAGATTCTGTTGAATTGATCTGCTCAATCTTCCTTGCAATCTTGCTGTCTCCTGAAGATGTTCTTTCTCTCTTTCAGAAGAGAATTACCTTAGTGCAGAAAGCTGAAGTCAATAGAAATTTTTTAACCTCTGGTGTCAGTGCTATCTTGCATGGTACTGCTCAGGGTCAAACAGGAGGAAGACACAAACTGCTTTCTAGCTTATTGTGGTTGATTTGGCTTATGTGTGATTTCATAATTGTAATTGGGTCCATATTAATACAGAATTCAAAAAAAAAAAAAAAAAAAAAAAAAAAACCATAAAAAAACCTTTCTTCTTCATTAATAGTTTTGGTTTATTTTACCAGAGACAAAATACATAGAAACAGTAACTTATTTCTTTTACAGGTAAGGAGACAGTCACTGTTCTTCCTGGTTCTTCTTATTTCTCTAGTGATGAATCATTTGCAATGATAAGAGGGTATGTAACAAGACATTAGAAGAATAAACTCAGTGGTTGAAGTCATTAGTAATTCTTCAAAATGTGGTTAATGTTTAACAGCTTGCAGAATAGTCATGGACTTAATGAGTGATGATTTACAGAATATTAGGTCCAGCAATTGGAAATTGAAAAACATTGTAACCAGCAGACACCATAGTGATGCTTGTGTCTCCCACCACCTGGCCATGTATAAACATATTTATAACTAGGTTTTAACAATTACTGTTTGGTCATTTCCAAGTATCTAATCTGTACTTGCACACAGTGTATTATCTTTCTTCAACTTGGAACTGTGATCCTCATTCCACCTCCCTAATGGAAATTCACCATCTGCACCTGTTTTTTGTTTGTTTTTCGGGAAGGAGTTTGGATGCAAACAAACACTAAATTGTAATGGCTCTGAAAAGATAATGAGTGTATGTAAATATGTAAAGGAGTGCACTTAAAAGTATGAGTTCAGAGCTGATTGTCTGTGCATGCAATTAACCAAACCCAGACAAAAATAATAGCATTTTTGAGGCTCAGTAGGCAGACAGAAAAATCATCAGCAGTGCATTTAGAGGAAGAGAAAAACCTGTGAGTGACAAAATGGTTGTTACCTCTGTGGTACACAGTTTTTAAATTGTTGTAATGAGAATGCAAATAAAAACTCATAAAGATTTGTGGGCTGTTACTTGAACATAATCTGCTGATTACACACTGTGTTTCTCTTGCCAGAGGCCATGTTGATTTGACAATGCTTGGAGCTATGCAGGTGTCTAAGTATGGTGACCTGGCCAACTGGATGATTCCTGTAAGTTGGCCTTTTTATTACTGAGAGTATACTGTATTTAGAATAATATTTGTAGCTGATTATGAGGAAAAAAAGATAAAGGATTCAAAGCATAAGGGGTCTTGATGAGCTAATCAAGTTAACATAGAGAATGTCTAACAGTTTTCCTGGGCTCTCAGAATCCAGCCATCTAAAATCACTGTTATGTTAAGTGTTGTGGAAAAATTAAACATGATTTATGTAAACCTTTCATCTTCATCTTCATCTTGGATTCAAATGTCAAGCTTTTGAGATGAGGACTGATTCTTTATCGTTAGGGAGCAACAGCACTCGTGTAGTTGTAACTGGAGCAAAGTCTTTGAAAAAATATGTGAAATACTGTTGAGCTCATCATCAAGTGGAAAACAAACGAGCAAACAAAAAACATTGCCTGCATTATTTTTCTCACTGTTGATCACAGCATTGGTATTTTGAGTACACCTAGAAGAAAGTAACTTTGCTTTATTTTATTTATGTGAAAAGTCCTGCAGGGTTCAAGCTTAAAAAATATAAGCCAAACTCAGTATTATTAAAGAAGCAGATGACCTAGAGCCACGTGCGGGACACATTTTATAGTTTAAAATTAGACAATATTCAAATCATTTACAAGTTAGGTATTTTCAATGACTTTGAATATTGCTTATATCGGAATTACATGGAAAACAGGCATTATTAGCCTGCCCTAAGGTATTTTGAAGTATTCTTGTAGGTAGAGTTCAATATGGTTTTAATCTATCTATGTATCTGTTTAAATTGTCAGATAATTTTTTTCTTTTGTTTAGCTGGTTTGTCACAGTCTGACATTCCCTTTATGCTTTTGCAAATTCTAAGTCACGATATTAACATGTCCCTATACTTTTACATTGAAGATTACTTAAATCTTTAGATTTTCTTTTTTTCCCGTCCTTTGGCTCTGCAAAAGCTATCGTAAATGTTCCATTATCTAGTATAGCCTTCTGTTTAGCAAAATTGTTTCTGAAAGGCTTATAAGAAAGTGGAAGGGAAAAGATTAAATTCTCAGTAGTAGGATTGGTTGGGGTTTTTTGTTTGTTTGTTTTTTGTTTTGTGGGGCTTTTTTCTTTCCTAGATTGAAGCATTGTTCAAAATACTCAAGTGAACAAGTAATAAAGATCCTCACTCTACACTATTCCTAAACCAGGAAAAATGTAGATATAATAGTTCACAGTTGAAATGTTTAAAAAAAGCCCCCCTGGTTCATCAGTAGATAGGTTTTGATGACAAATAAAAAGTGCTTCTAAATTCAACAGGATATTAAATTTCATGCAGTTGCATCTGTGCTGAATCTAAAAGCTATTAACTAGTTTTCATTCTTGAAAAGCAGTGTCATGAACAGGGGCAATTCATAACTTGCTTTGATGATTGGTTTCATTTTACGTTTTTTTGTTCTAGTTTTTCAGAAAAGACCCAACTGTTCTATCTCTTTAATTATATTTTTATGTCCACCCCCATTAATTATTGGTAGGCCTTTCCTGCCATCTTCCAAAACTGTTTAGTAAGCAGTATTCTGGGCTGTTACTGATTGCACTGTTTTTATGCACTTGTAGGACTTATTTGTTTCAAAAAAAACTTCCAGCTCAAATCAATGTGTAGTTCAGGATTTTTTTTCATGCTAATTTTTGCTGTTTTTTTCTGTTCTGCAACATTAGTCACTCCTGCTTTTAGTAAATGTGATAATCTACATCAATTTATGGTACAACAAAATAGGTTTTGATATTACTTAGATACTGAATTAAACATTAACTTTTTGAAAGGCCTATCAAAATAGAGCTTTTTTTTTTTTTTCCCCTCACAAATATTTTACTATTGTACTTAGCTTAGTGTGCAGAGCTTGTTTGATTCCTGTCAGCATTGGTTGCTAAAGATAAATCAGAAATGGAAGCTATCAGAATTGTTTCAGTGTTATTTCTGACTTGGTACTAACACCTGTGTTGAAGCAAAGTGTTGAACAGTCTGAACTTCTAAAAGCTAAATTTAGACTCTTCTCTTAAACTTTTGAAACTGAGGAAAATGTACAATGTTCAGAGGTACAGCATTTACAAATAACACATGTAGTAGTAGTAGTAGTAGTAGTAGTAGTAGTAAAATGCAATGCTTTCTGCAACTAAATATTATTAATTATTCCAGTAACTCTGTGTGCTTTTTGCTTCTTTGCCATAGAGAGGTATTTTTTCTGGTTGTGATGTTGAAATTTCTTTACTGATAGCATTTTGGAACTTATTTTTCAAGATCTGAGCTATCAAAAGATGAAGCCAACACTCTGCAGTAGAAGAGATTGTTTTACAGACGTTTCTCTAAGTGTTTTAATCTTAGATTGTACTTTCAGTTTTTCTCAAAAGATTGTAGACTTGCGTATTCCTTCCTTTTATGCTTGATATTCTCTAGACCATGCTGACTTTCGTTTTGAATCCATGATGAGAGCATTATTTTCTATATCTTCTGTTGCTTATGTATCTTCATTCTGTTCACAGTTAGGCTTCCCCCACATTTGGGAATGACATATATGCTGTCAGCGTTGGGAAGTATAAAAAACAAACAAATACCAAACTTTGAGTAACTCTCATTTGTTCTTTTTACTACCTTTAAGGTGCACCTTTTTACCAGCATTCATGTATGTGGCTAGAGAAGACTAAGAATATTTTAATATTTCAAGCATGTTTAGTAAACTGTGCTGTTAGCTTGCATATGCTGAAGTTAATCTCTCAACAGTGGCATTCATTGCATTAAACACAACTTATGGGTTCTTGTCTTCCTCTCTTTGTAACTTGTCAAGCTAATGAGAAGTGGTTTCTGAGGAGGGAAAGAAGGAAGTGGCAAATTTATGAGGAGCTCCTGGTAACAAAGTCAAAGAGCAGCTGGGAGGGGGTGGCCAAGAGAGTTGCGTAGGAATGCTGAGGATGTGGCTGTGGAGTAGGGCAGACTGGTGGGTGTGAATAGGAGCCATGACTACTGGAAGCTGTGTTTCACTTCACAAGTGAAGGGCAGAGACCTATGTATGACATGTATGTTTCTCTTAAACTACTGCTAAAAACTGCTGCTAGCAAAAATTACTGCATCCTTGCAGAGCAGCAGTATGGACTTGCAGCAGCCCTGGCTCCTGTGACAGTTAGTCCCATTAAAGATTAAAAGTCTTGGAGTTCTCCCTGAGACTTTATGGGACGCTAATAGAAGAATTATTATGGGACTAATAGAAGGATTTTATGGAAAGCCATCAGGAAGGAGTATCACTCCAGCAGCCACTATGGCATGTATTAGAGGCTGGGCATAGGTCACTAGAACTTCTGAAATGTCCCACTGTGACACCAGAGACTCTTATTACTCTTAGTTATTAATATTGAATATTAACATGCATTTCTGAGCGTCCTCATGCCATTTCACAGCATGATACTGATACTGCTGACAGAGTTTACCAGCAGAAAACCATTGAGCTCATAGTGGAGAAGCCCTGCAAGGAAACTGACGAATATGAAAAGAGTAAAATGAATATAATTTGTGACATCACATTTCATGAGGTGGAAACTTAATAGAGATAAAAGGGAGGAGTATAATTATGAAGCATGTCATAATGAGCGGGTAACATATCATAGAATGAAGGACAAAGAAAAGGCTGAAGTATTCAACATCTTTGCCTTAGACTTCATTGGCATGGTTTCTGTAGCTAGTGGTAGAATTCAGGGAAGTGAGGCTGCTACTTACTGTAGAAGATGACTAGTCAAATAACATAAACAACTACAAGTCCACAGTGCTGAATGGAATATATGTGGTGTTGCCAGGGAAGCTGTCAGGCATTTCAGGAGTACTCAGCACAGATTCACGAAGGGAAAATTAGAGATGAGAGAACTGGGCAACTGGTAGAGCTCAGAGGGTTGTGATCAGTGCCACTGAGTCCTGTTGTGGAAGCCTGTAGCTAGAAAGTGTTCATGTGCAATCACTACATTCTTTTTTAACAATCCTCATCCAGTGACTTGGGTAGAGTGCACCCTCAGCAAGTTTGCTGATTGTACAAAACTGGAAGGAGCAGCTGACACACCAGAAGGCTGTGCTGCCATTCAACAAGCCCTGAACAAGCTGGAGAATTGGGCAGTGAGGAACCTGTTGAGGTTTAGGAAGGGAAGATACGGAGTCCTACACCTAAGGCAGAATAACCCTAATCAATACAGATTAGAGGCAGACCTGCTGGAGAGGAGCTCTACAGAGAAGGGCATGGTGTCCTGGTTGATGACACGTCTGTGATCCAGCAGTGTGCCCTTATGGTCAGGAAGGCTAGTGGTGTCTTGAGGTGCATAAAAAATGTGGCCAACAGGTTGAAAGGTTTTTTATGCTGTCTCCCATGACATCCTGATAACAAAGCTGAGAAAGTGTGGGATAGATAAGTGGATGGTGAGGTGGGTTGAGAACTAGCTGACTGGCTGAGCTCAGAGGGTTGTGATTGGTGGCACAGAGTCTTGTTGGAGACCTGGGACTAGTGTTGTTCCACAGATGTAGGTGCTGGGTGCAGTCTTATTCAATATTTTCATCAGTGACCTTGATGAGGGGATAGTGTCCATTCTCAGCAAGTATGCCTGTGATACAAAGCTGGGAGGAGTAGCTGACATACCTGAAGGCTGTGCTGGCAAGACCTGGACAGACTGGAGAGCTGGGCAGCTAGAAACCAGATGAGGTTTTAAAAAAGCAAGTGTAGAGTCTTGCATCTGAGAAGGAATAACTGCAATTATCAGTACAGGTTGGGACATGACCTGCTAGCAGGGAGCTCTGTGGAGAAGGACCTGGGTGTCCTGGTGGACAGCAGGTTAGCCAGGAGCCAGCAGTGTGCCCTGGTGTCCAAGAATGCCAGGGGCGTCCTGAGGTGCATTAAAAGGAGAGTGGTCAGCAGATCAAGGGAGGGGATTCTCCCCATATACTCTGCCCTAACCTGGAGTGCCCAGTTCTAGGCTCCCCACTACAAAAAAGACAGGGTTCTCCTG